GTATTAAATCTAGACTTGTCACAAGTCTAGAACTGAATATATTTCTATAATCATGCTATGCATATGCACTCACCTTATCCTTGCTTGCTTTGATTCAATCTTACTTGTCACTTGTTCCGGAACTCGTTTAGGCTCAATATCTACATAAACATAATTTCTGAGACGATTATCAGAAGCCTAAAGCATATAACTTGATGTTAATAACTTAAGCTAATTTAATGAACCAAAATTCCATTTTTTCCTTTAGGGGGTATCGATACCTACCCTAAGGTATCGGTACCCTTATTCCATTCTGAAAATTTTCGTTCAAGAGGGTATTGGTACATATACGTAGGGTACTGATACACTCTGCTCAAAACAGATTTTTTCACCCGAAAACTTCATCAGCTCTTCACTGAATTTCTTCATACAAAGCTCCTTTCATATCACCAAACTCAACTACAACCATTTTAACTAACTTCTATCATTCCCACACCTTATTATCTGTCATACTTCATTCAAATTCTTAAAGCTAAAAATCATACCAAATTTTTCACCTGTTTTAAATCCAATTCTAACACTCCATATTCCTTAATTAGGTTGATGACAAGTCAAATTTAGTTTTGAATTCAACTTATCAACTCTTTTCCAGAAATTCATTTAAAAAACCTATTCACTTTAATCTTTCATAACTTCTTCATCTTTTGATTTTAAGACAAATTAAGCTTTCTTTAAGCTTAATTATCATCTAAGGATCAAAACACAACCTTTAATTGAACAAATAATCAACTAATTAAGAAACTCACCTTTGCTTGTATGTTTCACGTTGGAGAAGAGAAGATGGAGAAGATAAGTCTGGAAACTTATCTCCTCAACACTTGCTCCACATGGGTATTATAATACCCACTAATTATTATTTAATTATTTTCCTTATTCAATTACCTATTTGCCCTCTGAATCTTTCATAATTACTAATAAACCTTTAGAAATTATTTTTAATTAAGTTATTGAACTATTTAACTTTTCCACTTTAATCACCAAATTTTGAAATTTTACAATTTAGTCACTAATCCGTAGTTTGGGATGTTACATGAAACATAGAAGCATACGAGGTTTCAGATACTTGAAAATGGTTATGAAATATTTGAATGATTGTCATTTGTACTAGTGAAGTTCGACAAGAATGAAAGCAAGTTCAGGTTTAAAGGAAAAGATCAAGATGATTGGTCGAGATAAAATCTACGATGAAACTAAGTCAAGAATGAATAGAAAAAATGGGTCCTTATTCGAAGAAAAAGATACCCCAAAATTTTGTTATTGCATATATTTTAGTACAAATAGGGTCATGACATTCATAAATGCATGATAGCAAACAATGTCACATTTGCAAGTTTTCCAAAAAGAAGTCGAAAGTTCAAATCTCGAGATTGGAATAGTTAACTTAAAATCCCTAAAAGAGGGATATCCAAAGATTGCATGAGTATAGCACCCACAGAAGAGTAACAGGAATGATTTCTCTCCAACTCAATTCGATCTCCACGGAAGATTAATGGAATTAAATTCGAATCTGATCCTCATGGAAGAGTAGTGAAACAAATTCTTCTCAAGTTAATCAATCCTTCACAAAAGAGTAGTGAAGCAATGCAAATCAAACCTTCACAAAAGAGTAGTGAAGCAATGCAAATCAAGCCTTCACAAAAAAGAGTAGTGAAGCAAGATCATATCAAAAGTTCGATCTCCACGAAAGAGTAGTGGAGCGAATTTTTATCAAATAAAACGTCACTCGACGAAAACTATTTGTCTTTTTATCTTTGTTTTATTCTTCTTTACACAATAATATGTAAAGAGGGGCAGCTGTCGACAATGATTTTCGTCCGAGTGACGTTCATACGCTTATTTTTATATACATAATAAGTATAATAAATAATATTATAATACTATTATTTTTAATATTTACAATTTTACAGGACCCAAATTACAAACCCAAAGGCCGCCCAAATGAGATACTACCCTAAGCCCGATTACAACCAGACCCAATCCAGACTTGACCCGAACGGCCCTACAGGCCATAAGCAAATCCACGATCAGTTAGGGTTTCCACGTAAGGTTTCAACGCCTCATGAGTCCCAGGCGTCCGATCCAGAAGCCAATCTGACGATCCACAGGCTACCAGCATAAACCCTAGGTTACTCGTTGTAACCCTAGGGCTATTCCAGCGCCGCCGTAGGGATGATGATGCCTCACCGACGAATGCTCCAACCAGTGCATGCCACCGTAATGCCATATCCTCTCCAGATCGAAGCAATCTGGGTGCATTTAATGCACCCAATCTCTCCACCGCATAACTCACCACCCTTAGGGTGAGTCACCACCGTAGCCCCGGTGACTCACCGGGGTATGGTCCTTTAACCGGATAATAGGGTATATCGAAAAACCCTATAAATAGGGTAAACCTACGAAGAAGAAAACCAAGAGCAAACAACGAGAGTAACAAACAGCAACCAAGCAATAGAGAAACAACAACTAACAAATAGAGAAAATAGAGAGAAATAGAGGAGAATAATAGCCTTACCCTTGAAGTTTCGACCATCGACAGAAGCTTCAAACGTCGTCGGAGAATATATTTTTCGAAGGTAAACTTTGTAGATCTAATTCGATGGGATCATTTTTGGGTAAAAATAAGGTCGGATTTAGGTTCAAGAGAAATAGGGCTTTGTTTTGGGGTATTTTGATGTTTTTCGACCACCGTGGGTGGTGGCCGGCGGCGGCGGTTGACGGTGGCATGCGGCTGTCGACGGGGGTTGAATTTCTTCCGGAGAGGGAATTATAGAGAGATGTGAGAGCTTTCCTCTCTAAAGAGAGAGAAACATAAAAGATAAAAGAAAATCTTTGAGGTTTTAGGCCTCATCCACCCTATTTATATACCTCCCCAAACAGTGTTGTTTTGGGGAGGGACATTAGCGTAAATATGGATATGGGTAAAGAGTTTTTGTGGATCCTGTAATTTTTTAACTTTGCAATTTAGTCATTAAAAGCATGTTTTATGTATTTTAATTTTTGTCTTTAATTTTATTTATTTACGTTTTGGTCATTACTGTACATATATATATATAGTCCTTAATATATTTAATAATTTACATTTTAATTTATATAATAATTTAGGATAAATTACAGTATTATTATAGTAATTTAATATTATTTTGAACTATATTAATTAATATTAATGTTTTTATATTTTAAACCATTAATTATTATAATATTAATCATATTATTAGTATTTATATTTTATATCATGATTAGTAAATTACATTTTTTATAACTTAACCTATATCTTATATATTTAGTATTTTAATTATTAATAGCATTAATTAATAATTTATTTAGGTTCTTTATAAATTAGTATAAACAAATTTTTAATTACTACAAAGACATTTAATTAATAAATAACAGTACCAATTTTGGGCGTTGTGGGAATGTTAATTCTTTTCCATATGTAACCGACTCAAAAACTCATTTTTCTGGTAAGCAGACCCTATTTGTATTATTTTATTAATATTCTTAGGAATTTTTATTAAAATAATATGACATTTTGGTGACCAATCTCACCGAATTAAAAGATGTGTGGCGACTCTACAATTTGGTGTTTAATCTGATTCATGAAAGATAAACACTTACTTTTTCGAGACTAGTTACACCGTCTGGGGTGTACTATTTTCACTCTCCGTAGCCAGGGCAGAGAAACGTCTCGACATTATTTAATATATCAAATACAATCTAAAAGTATAAAATATATTCACAATATTATATTGTTCTTTTATTTTGAGGGTAAAATATTGATGATAGTATAAAAGAGTCAAGGAAATGAGCAGAAGAAAGAATTTGTAAACAATTGATGTCAAAAAACCAAATTGAGTGAAGTGCAATGCTAAGGGTCTAAATAAAAGAGAGAGTACATTTTTAGTTAAAAAAAAGAATTGAACTTAAATAGGTGTTCTATAATGATATATAAGCATGTGGTTCATATTTGATAAAAAAAAGACTTAAAATAAAAGTTGAATTTAAGAAATAAAAAATTATGAAAAATGACTAAATTGAAAAATAAAAAAATTGTTATCGAAAAGAGAATTTGAAAGTACATATGTATTCTACAATAGTTTAGGAGCATATGTTTTAAATTTAGTTAAAAATATACTAAAAGTAAGGGGGGAATTGAATGAATGTTGGAATTAGGAATTAAATTGTAAAACTATCAAAATACATAGTTAAATTTTTAGTTTTTCGAGTAACTCAAAATTTTCAAATTTTCAAAATTTCAAAATTTCAATCTGACTCAAACTCGAAAACCGAATTGATAATTTAAGTTGACTCGAATAACTAAAATAACTCGAAATTAAAAGATTAATTTTTCGAATCGAATTTATTCTCCTACAATCAACTTTGTCATATAGTCGTTTTTGTTACGAGAAACAAGCTGTTCTAGTAAATGATGTAGGAAAGTTGTTAATTTTATAAGGTGAACAGTGGGTTTGGGTATAGAATTCGGTAATTTCCAACTTTATGTGCCCTTTGTACGTGAGTCCAGGTGCCATGTTTTTGTAAGTAAAACCCTGAAGTTGAAATGTTTTGGGGGGTCCAACCCAAGTAAAACTTGGAAATTCCTCAGTGGACTGTAAAAAGAATGTAAGAAATAAATGAAAACAAAGGGAAAAAAAGGTTGTCCAGAATTAATCTTATTTCCATATTTCTGTCTTTATCTCCAACCTAACCCTAAATTAACGAATGGTCAAGAGTTGTGTCTTTCTTTATCGTCTCATGCTCCAAAAAGTCCCTACAGCTCTCAACAAGTTTAAACGGAAGAAAAATAATAATACTACAATATTTTTTTTAAAAATTAATTATTCACAGATATTAATTACACCATTAAAAACTAAAGAATTGCTTCAATTCTGTTTTTCCTTTATCTTCACACAAATAATTGTATAGGGAAAAAAACAATTAAAAGAGCACCAAAAAGAAGGCCCTTATGTAATCATGAAAAGAAGAAGAAAAACTAGCAGTACCCATGAAAACGTGCGGCTACATGATCTAGGATGCAAGCCGATAGCTTTGTTGGAAGAATTTTCAGACTCTAACAAAGAGCTGTATCTGAAATTAGGGTTTGATCCATACAAGGCTTGAATACCTTGTACATCGTCAAGTTTAAGATCGGCTTTTCTGCTCCGAGGCCTCAAGCTCGGATACATCACCGCTTCCTTCACCGAGCTATGGGCTAAGCCGAGTATATGCCCAATCTCATGCGTCGCCACTGATTCCAAGTCAACAGCCACTTTTGATTTCACTTTCCCGATATCAACGGCCCACGTTTCAGCTTCATCCAGGTGGAACCTCCCGTTCTCTGGTGAAAAAGCATGAGCTAAAACTCCTAATACTCCATCGAACGGTTCTCCGTCGCCGTGATCTCCCCTGAAAAATCCGATCTTGATATTGGCCGATCCGTAATCTTCTATCTCCGTGAAATTCACCGGAATCACTGAAGCCCACTTTGAAAACGAGCGTCGAAACACTCCTCTGATTTCTGGTAAGCTTATGTAATCGATCATATTCCAAGGCGAAAAAGCGTAGGTTAAAGTCATCGACGACCCACGCTCCCATCTTGGACTTCCGTAAAAATAGGCAAAATGTTTGGTTGCACGGACTTTCGGACCTGTGTCGGAAACGCCGCACCTGGGGGACATAATTTCCGATAACGTATCGGAATCAAGCTTTCCGGTCACCGGCAATCCGAACTTTTTTTGGTATAAAACAACGGCTGATTCGAATTGAGCATCGAAAACGTCGGTGAAGCTACAGTTTTGGTTGTCGGGAATCGACAGGTAACCGAACCGTTGGAAATATTTCTTGAGTTCCGACATGCCACTGACGCGGCTACCTTTCTCGGCGTCCTTAAAGCGAGTAAAACCATGCCACGTAGCGTTGTGATCATCGGTCGTTATGACGGTTACTTGTCCTGGTGTGAATCTGGCGGGAAAGCAAAAACAAGGGAGAAAACAGAGGAAAAGGAAGAGAGAGGGGAAGGAAAAGTAACCGAACAACCGAAACATGGGTTCTGTTGTCAGTTATTTTTGGGATTTAGAGCTTAAAATCGAAGAAACCTAAAGGCTTTTATTAGGAGAGTAGGTAAGAATTCATTTTTAAATTGGTATAAAAAAAGAACCCATTTTTTAAATTTTAATACAGCATATTAAAAAATTGTAATAATCAAAACATAGGGAAGATAAGGTTGACGAACAAGAAAAGGGGACACATCCTGGCTAGAGATACTGAGTTTGAAGGCAGAGAATGGTGGGTTAACCACTGCCTCAGTTTGCAAAAAACAAGTAAATATACTTTCAAAAAAGAAGTTTGTTTATTTTTAGTTGTTTGTTGACCAAAGAAGATGATTTCAGTATTAGTTTCCTATAAGGTTTTGCTTCCCCATCGTTCCAACTTTTATTACAAGAAAATTTCTTGCCTTGCGTGTTTCGGGTTCCATCAATTTGACCGTTGCTTTCGGAAGGGTTGGGGAAATGAAATTCAAAGAGTTGGAGCGTCAACTCTGAAATGTCCTCGCCTCTAACCAAGAAGAAAAGAATGGGTAGAAGAAAATGTCAATTTATATCTTTAGTCCAAGTATTGTACATAAACTGTATATTTAGTTTCTAAACTCTAATTTAGTCGATTTTAATGTTTAGACCATAGCTCAAACAATACATGATCGATATAACTAAATCATGTGGACCTGAAATGATCAAATTAGAGAATAAAAACTAAATTTATAACCTATCATAATATTGAGATTAATAGCATACATTAACTTAATTTACCGGCCTCCATTTAGGTTTAAACTAAAATTTCAAAATTTTAAAAGCTTAAGACTGAAAAAATAAAGTTAGAATACAATTACTAAATGACCTAATTAAAAGTGTCCAATTTTTTTTCTATTTTAAGTGCTTAAAGTATTTTTTTTATTCAAGGTAGGTGTGCAACGTTTTCAGCGTTATCATTTTTTGTGTATAGTCCATCACGGTTGTTAAAAAATATCTTCAGTCACTCAAAAAGTGGCAAGTGCCACCTTTATAATTTTTTAAAAGTTTTATTTAAAAATTTAACCTGATAGTTTTTTTAAAACGCTAAATTTCTCTCAAATCTCATAAAAACCTAAAACTTTAAAATTTGTAATTCCAAACCCCTTACTATCATCAGCCCCATTGTTGTTGTCCCAGTTGTCGACCTTTTTCATCGACCACTTCATCTTCCATTGTACCCCTCAACGCACTAAGAAAGAATCGTCACACTTGTCTTGGTTGAGTGAAGCCAACGACGTTTGTCGTAGAAGCAAGGGATTTCGGTTGTTGGGTGATCGGCCTGTTGCACAATGTTAGAGTTTAGATCGATTGGCAGCATTGGTGATGGTTGGTGGTGGTAATGGAATTGAAATTAGGGATTTTAGGTTTTTTTGTAATTTTAGGAAAAAAAATAGGGTTTTGAAAATTTAATAATTTTAACTTTTTAAATAAAAATTTCAAAAATATAAATATGATGTGTCATGTAATAATTTTTTTAATGGTTGTGACAAACTAAAACTTAAAATAGTAACGTCGAAAACGTTAACTATTTACTTTGAGCGAAAAAACACTTTAGACACTTAAAATGAGCAAAGGGTATAATTTGAATACTTATTTTTCATTAACTCTTAATAAATCTATAATTTATATTTTTATAATGTACTTAATATAAATACTAATAGAAACTTTTGGCCAAAATTAAAGAAAATTTCAGCGCTCTAATACACAAATCTCTTATTTAATAAGAGATAATGCAAACTAACTAAATTAAATTACGAGTTTTTTAATATTTATTTTTTATCCATTTGGGTAATTTAATTTTTATATTGAGAAATTACATAACCAGTAAGAGACCTTATGAGCAGGCAACTAAATTTAGGTTAGGGTTCTTATCATTTAAAGTTGTATAAAGAATGTGTTGGGAAAAACGTTTCAACTATGTGAACAAAGGTAAGCATGTTGAACATATATTTGATTTTTGATATAACATGAATTATCAAATGACTTAATTTGTTAAAATTACACTTTTCAGAATGAATTTTCGGTACCAATACTAAGGTGTTGGTAACGTTATGAAAATTTGTCATAAAATATTGTCAAATATTTTTAATCATGAAAAATGATCTCAAGTATTCTTGAATAATTATATAATTTATTATAAATATTTTTCAAAGTTAAAAAATATTTGATTTTGTAAAAAACCTTTTTCCAATCTCAAAACCGTAATCCAGTATCAATACCCATTTTTCCAGAATGAATTTGGTACCATTACCAAGGTGTTGGTATCGTTACCAATAGGTGAGTATCGATATTAGCTATAATAATATTGATACTGATGGCTTCAATGGCTATATTTTTACTGTTAGGATGTTAGGTCTCAATACCAAAGTTGCAGGTGAACATTTAATGCACAAAATTAATGATTCCAATGGCTCTAATCAACCACCAATGACTCAAAATGGCTATAAGGGTATTAAAAGACATAAAATGGACCAATATTCAAATGGAGAACAACGATAAAGATTATTTAAAGATCAACTAACATCAAAAGAGTTTTTGAGCTTAAATTGTCATACTCTTTGTAATACACTTGTGATCTACATTGTTTAATTTTGCTCAACTGTGATTTTGGTGAGTGGTTATTATTTACAAACATATTTTCCTTTGTGAGATTTTCCTTTGTGAGATTTTCCTTTGTTTAATACACTTGTGATCAACTAACAATCAATAGTTATTGGCTTCAAGTTTCAGCTCTTACTATGTTAAAGGTTCATAATATATTTCAAGACCTCTATATTTCAATGGTGCAAACTACTCCAATCGAAAGAATAGGATGATGTTGTTTGTTCAAGATAACGATTATTTAGTTTGGGATGTCATAATTGATGGTTCACCTACTCCTCCAAGAAATAAGTCGAGATGGACCAATGAAGATTGGAAGTTAGCCCAACTCAACGCCAAAGCCATGCACATATTCTTTTGTGCACTTGGCTCTAACGAGTATAGTAGAGTGTTCTCATGCTCTAATGCTAAGGAGATTTGGAAAATCTTGAAGTAAATCATGAAGGCACAACTCAAGTGAAGAAATAAAAAATTGGTATTATCACACTTAATTATGATAATTTCAAAATAAAGCACGATGAAGACATCAAAGCCACGTCCAATCGATTTATCACTATCATCAACAAGTTAAAAGGTTTTGGGAAATTCTACTAAAATTAGGAAATTGTGATAAAGTTTCTTAATAGTTTTTATGTCATGAAAATCCAAGAGGACGACTATTGAAGAAGCCAAAGATCTTGAAGTTCTTATTCTTGATGAACTCATTGGATCATTGCTTACTCATGAGATGAGACTTCAGAGGAAAAAAGAAGAAGATGAGGGAAATAAGGAGAAGAAGAAAAATGATGTTGGCGTTGTTTTCAATTCTACTAATGAAGATGAAGAAGATTACATTGAAGATGTGGGTGAAGATGAACAGATTTCCAAGCTTTTCAAAATATACAAGCGATTCATGTTATCCAAAGAAAAAAAGAGAAACATTAATCAAAGAATAAGAAGGATCATATCATATGCTACAATTGCCAAAACCCTGGACATATCAAGAATGATTATCCTCAATTGAAGAAGAAAGGATCAAGCAATCCAAAGAATAAGGCTTTTATGGCTATATGGAGTGATGAAGACGTCACCAAAGATGAAGATGATGAAGTAGCCAACCTTTGTCTCATGGTCATTCAAAAAAAATCAAAGGTATCCTCTAACTCATCCAATTCAAATTTATATACGCTTGATGAGTTGCAAGATGCCTATGATGAATTAGTGTTAGAATGTGAAGTTAGGGATGGGCATGAGGTGGGGCGGTCGATTTTTTTGGTATATGACCCCGACTCGAAAATATATATCTAAAAACGACCCCGCCTCGCCCGGATGAATTTTAAATTTTTTCCTGCCCCAAACCCACCCCAATTTTTAGACTAAAACCTTGATCCCAATTTGATCTGAATATATTAATATTTTAAAATAATTAAAATAATATATTTTATAATATATATATAATTAGTTATTATATTTTAAATGGTTAAAATAATATATTTTATAATAATTTATATATATTTTTAACAATTAAATAAAATATTTTAATAAAAAATAAAATTCTTAAAATATTAAATATAAATATATATAAAAATAAAAACTAATCAGGTTAGGTCATGTCGGTGTTTTTCACCTTAAACTTGGCCCTGTCCCGCCCCAACATTTTTATTATATAACTCACTCTTACCCCCGAAATTTTTAAAAAAATGCCTCTATAGGTCGGTTGGGTCAGGTCGAGACTCATTGGGTTTGATATTTTAACCATCCCTATGTCAAGTCATGATTTCAAAACACAAAAAGATTCATTCAAAAATTGAAAATTGGAAATGACTTTCTAAGGATAATAGTGAACTTGAAAGAAAATTTAACATTTTGCAAGAAAATTAAATGATCTTGATAAAAAAAGAATCTAGACTTGTAAAATTTACTTTCCAAAGTTCGTAAGGATCGTCAAAGGAAAATTGATGACCTTGAAAAATAAAGAAATAGTTTTGACAAAATTATGAAAAATAAATTGGAAAGAGGAGATTGTTCCAAATCAAATTTTGTCAAAAATAGTTTTTTACAATAGACGTATTAATTCCCCTAAATATTTTAAAGGAAAAATGATTAAAAGAATATGGGTCTCTAAAGGACTCATTGCTACTAAAAATAAGGATATCCTATCACAAATTGATACTTAAGGGGACTAAATTATTTTAAACTAATGTCAATGGACCCAAAAAGATTTGGGTACCAAAATTTGTATGATTGGCTATTGTAGGTGTGTTGGAGCAATTGAGAGCAAATTCAAGTCATTTGGAGGCTTTAAACACACTAAGGAATAACACTTGAAGAAAGAAAAACCTAACAAATTAACCTTGATTCAAGTGGTAACAAAATTTAATTTCATATAATTTTATGATAATTATTTAATTTTATATGTTTTCTTGCATGATTAAGT